TGACTTACTTAAGTATTAGATTAACAAATTATCATAAAACAGATACAGAAATCTGATACCCAGACCCAAAGAGGTTGCAGAGACGCTGATTTTTTTAATGTTAATAATTGTGAATTGTTTTCTTTAATACCTATACTCAGTAAGTTTATGTATTGTGTATATTTACAATAATAATACCTACTCTAGTTTTAAATACTAAGAAATCAACGTTTATCAATTTCAAAAATTAAATGTGATACTTCTCTTCTAAGCATGGTAAATAATACTTTTTAATAGTTTATATACTGTTATTTTATCAAGCCACCAAAAAGAATGTTATCAGGTCTTAGTTCAGTCTATGATAAATTTGGGATTAAATAAAATATAGTATGATGATCTATGCTACCAAGCATATGTGGTAGATTTCGGAAGTTTCCACAAATTAATCGGAAAAGTAAATTTGACGTCTATGTTTTAATTAGGAAACATTCAACATAAGGAAAACTTTAAATTTCATCTATTATGGAGGTCACTTTCCCACGGATACCTGGATAATATTGATAGGAATTTGAGGTCGGTTTAATTCACCTGAACTTCTTTAAGGATATTTGTTAGAATATGTATTTTTGGAACGCAACCAATTTTTAGTACCTACCAAATTAGGTCACGAGAGGACCTTTACTTCCTTCCATTCTTAATGCACAAAATTTCGTACTTGTTAATCTCAGAATAAATAGTTCTTAATGCACAAAATTTCGTACTTGTTAATCTCAGAAGAAATAGTTTTAATTAAATATTCCTTTTATTACAACATCCACGTACATTCCAATATAGTATTAGTAATGAAAACGCACTAAGGATTTGTGATATTTATATCAAAAACTTACTACTCCACATACTGCGAATATAATTGATCCAGTTCTCAAAGAGAAACAGCAACATTTTTCAATACTCGGGAGAGTTTCAAAAAGAGGCATTGTAACATCTAAAATCCAATACAAATATTAAACATTTTAAATCCAAACAACGTTCTGCCAACAATACTGACAGAGGACACGATGTGTCAAAATAATTTATAGAATAATCAAATTATTAAAATCTTTAGTCTTTCTGTGCCACCAGCACCAAAAAAATAATAAAAACACCCTGTAGAAAAAGGCCAACTGCAGACCTGAAATATGATGGGTTCTATAATGCCCCAACATTTTGGTGCAAAGGACAATGCAAGCTATGCATCAAAGGCCAGAACTGTTTTTTCAATTTCCATGATGTAAATTTCCAAATTAATCTGATTTTGTATATATATTTTTGTTTAATTGAAGTTCTATCTTTGTCATTAACTAAATGGTACAAACTACTGATTATTAACGTACCTAGTTTTTATATTCAATTTAATACAAGTAAATAATTATATAATCAAGTCATAGATAACTTGGCGATGTATCCCACAAAATACCTACATGTGATTTATTTCAACTACCCTAATGAAGTTTTTTTAAGTATTTTTTCTTAAAAAAAATTCATGAGGGTGATGACACCTTGGTATATTACGGTTAAGTGCTATGAATATTATTTTGATATTCAAAAAGTTAAAGGTTAAAAAGTCCATAACGTTTTTTATTCGGTAATTAAAATTTATCGGTATATATATACCCCTACCATATAACAAAAACAGAATTAACTTACAAAACCTACTTTAAACATACACAAATAACATTAAATTAGTAAAATTTCAAATTTACTATAAAATATAATTGTAAGTAGTTTTTTTTTTGTATTCTTTAAGGACAGAGAAAATATCCGGATTACTTTTAATTTACATCTTATAGACACTGTAAATTAGTTCTACCAAATATTTGACCAAGAGCACAGTATCTATTAAAATAAGGTAGTATGTGTACGGGTACAATGTCTCGTTAAAATTAATAAAATATGTATTTGTGAAATATTTATTTCCTATTTATCCTTCGTAAGAGTTGACAATGACGATAAAGTAACCCCACACTGAAACAAGTCGAAAATTTATATTAATAAGTATAAAACCAATTTTTGAAATAAAATAATAAATTACACATAGATTCCAAAGATATATTTTTATTTAGTAAAATTATTGGGTATACTACAATAAAACACATTACTTAATCAATACATAAATACTCACTGAAAAAATAAAGTATCAAATGGAATATTTGTGAGTAGTACCAGCGACAATCAGTGTATTGTTCCTGTATTACCATAAGAACTGCGTACGGTACGGATATTAGTGAGGTCACTATTGCACTTATTATTAATAAATCGGCATATATTTGTCGATAATTCTGAAATAAGCCAAATATACATTAAAATGTTGGGTTCATTATCAATAAACAAGGAATTAAAATTTGTATATATTTATAAAAACATTGATGTACGAATTCTGTACAACTATATAATTACATATGTGTACTTGTGAACTTTAGTACATCCTTCAAGAAAAGAGCGTACATATTATTAAAAGGCAGCAATATGAGTGTCCTTGAGCAGCACTCTCATCACTTACCGGTGAGCCAGAGTTATATAAAAAAAAGACAAAATATCTTACGGAATTACAAAGACGAAAAGTAAAATACCATAAAAATGCCAAGTAGAAATGCAAAGCAATTTGCAATTATAAAAAGCTCGCACACGAATAACAGCCATCGTAGTATATTTGTAGGAATTTTTACAAAGCTAGATGCTTCGAATAGAGATCTACAATGCGGCAAACATAGCAAGCCTGCTGTGTGAATGCTTGAAAGCTGAAAATCACATAATTAATTTGTGAATATTAAACTATACTAGTAAGTTGGTTCCGCTCTTAAAACGCTCATTTAGACTAAGAAAGAAAAGTTTGTAAAACATTAAAATTCCCATCTATGATCTGGTGGTACTCCTCACAGTGTACGGACCATTATATGCTGTCATATTTACGAAAAGAAGTCATAGTAATTGTACAAAAAGCAGCATAATCAAGACGTTATTATATAATTACAATATTTGAATCAAACACTTACCATGCCTATAATAATAATAATAACACAGGCACATTTCAAATCTCTAGTGCAATAACTGAATCTATTTACTTTTGGAATAAATGACAATATTCCCATTAAATAGTGTATTTCGCCTCAGTATTTTGTTTTCAAAGCTATTCCTACAGAGTATAACAAAGACTTGCGTGCTTTGACAAGACTTTGACAAAATAAATGACACAGCACTTCCATAAATTACAGAAAACGAAAAGAAGATTAAGCTAGAAGTGTTTCTACGACATAGATATTGGTTATTATTATTAATATATATATTTATGAAAAAAGGTTAAAATTAAATTTTGCGAACTGTTACAGTATACTGTCATAGTTGTTTTTTTTTAGCTTAAACATAATCGGTCTTACTAATAAAGAATTATGCACATCGTATAGGCCTGTTATAAGAAAAATGTTACTAATAATTCCTGAACTGACACGTTTGATGTATACGGCTGTTATAACAAGTGTCTGGTTTGTATGAAGACTTGTACAATGCTTATACAACGCCGAGGCCTAGTTTAACGGGTGTATAGGACATAAATTGCGTTATTTGATCTGATTTCGCGTTTGACAGCATTTTTTGACTGTTTAGTTCAAGGAAAGATTTAAGTTAGTAGGTATTTGTGTTTGTTGAAAATAGATTTTATAGATCAAATGGAAGATTTAGATAATATTGATATGCAGCTAATACATACGATTGAAGATTTGCCGCCTCCAAGGAAATTACTTTCGGATGGCGATTTCAAAACAAAATACCGCTTGTCAAAGAAGTATGTTATGAAGATCTGTGACAGTGCGAGCTGATGTCGAAAAGAGTAATAGAGGTGGATGGTTTTCGATTTAGGTGTCTTCTTCATGGCTTCTCAGTGTCTTTAGAAAATGCCAAATTATATATAGTAGCACTGGCAATCCTCCACAATATTGCTATTGATATGAAAGAAGACCTGGATGTTACGTATGATGACACTGAGAATGCTCCAGAAGAACCAAGGCCAACCTAGACGCCCCCAAGCAATCAGGCTGGACAAGCTGCTAGAGCTGCTTTTATTGAAACATATTTTTAAAGCTGTTTTATTTACATAGGTGTGGATAGTTAGACGTGAAATAAATAAAAAGTTATATTTCATTTAAAACAGGGGTTTTATTTCTTTTATAAGTATATAATTATTCATTTAATTGCTGCTGTAATAGTTTGAGCCTTAGAAGATGCTCCTGTCTAGACCATTTGTGAGCTTCGGCAAGTTGCTTCTGTTTGAGCTCATGTGTTTCAGCCATTTGCCTTAGTTTGGTTTCATGCTCTTCCTGCAAACACTGGAACACTGCCGTGTTGCGGAGTTTGGCACTTTCCACTATTTGAGATGCCTAAAAAATTTAAGTATGATCATTGAGGGCTTTTGAATGAAATAGTCCTTTTCTCTATCACATTGATACTAACCTCTCCTAACTTTTGTACTGCAGAACGTGGCTTTTTATGTAAAATTCTAGTCCTCTTTGTCTGAATATAGTTGTTTTGGTTGCTAAAATAAATACAACTTACATTAGAATTATGATTTCTATCAGAATTATTAAGTCAAACGTCAATCAAACACGGTGGGTTGCCAGGGTAACAATAAATAAGGGTCGTTTAGTTATTCAACCAATACACATCGATTATTGGTCAAAGAGGTGTTTATGCCCTGTACAAGCTCTATTCACTGAATAACTATCACCTTGTTATAACTCATGCATAGTGATTTTTTATTAGTAAGACCGTATATGTACTAATACTGAATAATCTGAATATTATGTATATTTAACAAATATATTAATATAATAAAGCAAGTTAATAATTTTTACATTTTTAAATACTTTGTATTGGAAAGAAAAACATCATTTTAGTACTATATTTATTATGAATAAACACAGATTCGTAAAATTACTCCACTTCAAACACTCTGCATTGTGAGTGAGCTATTAGTATATCTTCTTCCAAGATCACGTCGGTTTCCGTCTGTAGGAATACACTACTATTAAAAAGTAGGACCACACTGAAAAGCAAAAAATATTATTGTAATTTACCGAATTTTCTAGGTTGTAGTACGTTTCTACTGTACTGGGAGCGCATAAATTTTCTAATTCGATCAAGTCGGGTCAATTTTCGAGGTGGTTTTGAATATGAATGTACTACTGCGAAGAAATGTAGCCACATGCACCAAGCTGAAAGAATTATGAGCTTACTTACACATAGCTACGAGGCACTATTAACACAGATTAACTTGCATACAAATTTCTACATGCCATGACATTTATCTTCGGATTTTGGCCATAATAATAATATTCCATATAAAAAAAGGGTGCGTGTACTTATGTACGCGCGTAAGTAGTTATACTTCTTTTGCATTATTAAAAATAGTTTTTGATTGCATGCAAATAATTAATTACAATTAAATAATACACAATTACATTTGAAAAATGTCCAATGTCGTAGCCTCTTCCGTGGGCAACTTCATTCTTTTAAATGTGTCACGGTGTGCGCGCATCGTAAAATTTCACTCTCATCATAACGCGCCTAAAGAAGTATAACTTCAAAAATTGTAAAACAGGCAATGGGATTGATTAGACAATTACGGGACTTCAAATAAAATCTATTCCTATTCTCATAAGACTTATTCGTAGACTAAATGTAACGCTGTGAAAGCTTTCATTTAAACATATACAGAGGCTTCTATTGGCTACTTTTAAAATCGTATTAATTAACCGAGTAACACATAATCGGAGAAAATACATACTTAATAAATCAACAAGCGAAAAAACGAACTCAAACACGGGGAACGATCCTCCCATAAACACACAAGCTGAGACATATAGCAATCCATATATAAATGATAATATAACAGCAGGCAGTCCGAACATTATAAAATATTTTCCCGCTTGTTGTCCTAGTCCCTGCAATAAATTGTGATTTAAAAACATGTATAGGTATATATATACTTTAGTTAACAAGGCATTTTGTATATATAAGCTTATTCTTAAAATCAGGTGAGTCCCTCAAAGGCCGGCAACGCACCCACTAAAATTGGGTGTCTATGGGCTGCGTAGACTGCCCTTTTTGGTCGTCCCGCAAGCTCGTTTGCCCCCCTCTTATATAAAAAAAAGTCTCCTGCCTGTTACATAAATAAAAAAGGGAAACTTCTGGATTGATGCGTAAAATACGAAATATATTAGGTTTATTACTGTACAAACGTATTTATATCTAAATAAAATAGTCTATTATACGACTTATTACATGCTTCTTTATTCTTAATCAGAATACTTTTACATTTTAAAGTGTTTTGATTAATTTAAAAATACATTACAATTTGCAATTAAGATATAAGAACCCATTTCTTTAAATATTCCTTCTACTTCGATATATTAAAAATAATGGAATACTACAGTTCTCATTGAGGATATTACTAATTTAGTTAGCTTTACCATAAAACTTAGTCACTTATTTAGTCTAATTTACTGAGTACTAATTATAGTGTGTAGAATGAAAATAAAATCTCCTCTAGTGGTTCATATAAGTATTTGTCACGGACGTGTATTACGATTACGATAGCTTTAAGCTATCGTAGACGTAGTAGTAGACGTTTCAAATGACGTCTGATCTGATTGCTACATACTCCTAACTTCATATATAATCTAAGCTCTTACCCGAAACATTTTCACCAATAAATTGATACTGGACAATAGGAAGAGAGCATCTGCAACTAGTACCAGCCATCCCAAAAACCGTACAACACTGACGAATTGTGAATGGGCCTCTCCGTCTGCAGACCCCATTCGTAGTAACGAAGTTGGAGGAGTAGTTTCCGTTTTATTCCTGACAATACATGATGGTCCGAGTCCAGCATTTGCACCGAAGCCAAAACTAAGCTATGAGCAACAAGTATATTATAACTAAAAAAATATGTATATATTTTTAAAACTTATCTACCCATCTATGCACCCATGCCTTTTACTTTTTTATAATCTTTGTTAAGTTTATTTTTTCTGAACTTTAGGCAAGCTTATTTTAAGCTTCTGTCATCTACTCCAGAGATTATTTTTTTACTTTTATATTATTTATATAGTTTATAATCAAGGGTAAAATCCGATTAATAGCAATAGCTACTAAGCACATATATATAATGACAAAATGCATAATATCTTAACTAGAATTTATTTGCTCCTACTTTTAATACTAAGCCGGTAATGGTACTTTCAAAGGGTAATCGTATTGGTAAATAAGTAACTAAAAATAAATATATCCTAAAACTATATTTTTAAACTTACGATATTATTGAGATTTATATCCACAACGTCAGCGCGCGATGAGCTGGTTGTGACGATACAAGACACACGTATCACGTAGGCGTGTCGAATCACAGCCCATGACACCAGGGGACACGTTACCTGCAATGGTGGATTTAGCAAAGCCTTTATACATTAGTCTAATATATGTGATAAATATAAATTCTTGTTGGTGAGGTAAGCCTGTGGGCTGGCATGATACAGTGGTATCATATAAATTAAAACACTTGCAGTTAAGTTTAGTTTTATAGCATTACTGAATTAAGGCGTATATACATATAGCATTAGTAAATTGTTAAATCCATAATTTAGCACTTACTTACTTGGTCACGGTTGCCCAAAGCCGAGGATGGCTAGCATCCTCGGCTTTGGGCAACCGTGACCCGTAAACCTTAAAAAGCTATATACTTAAACCTCCTAAATCATTTTAGATATTGAAAACCGCAATTTCTCTAGAACTCAAATTAAATCAGCGTTCGTAAGACACGTTTTCGTTTGACCGTTTCTGACTAATATGAAGTCTAATTTTTCGGCTTAGCTTATGATAATCATAAATTACGTGGCTATATATTGGTAATAGAATTTTCAAAATCGGTTAGTACCTATATATTACCCCCTACAATCTCACAAACTCTAGCTCTTTATTATATTAGTATAGATGAATGGACTAAGAAGTAAAAATTTTTTTAATCAACAAGAGGTCATCATCATTGATGGTTTGTATAAAAATAAATAATTCTATATTAAGTGGTTTTACATACGATCCCCAGTACTGCAATAATAGTGGCAGCTGTTTTTATGTCGGTCACACAGCCACAACATGTGTCTACGTCTGGTATTTTTAAATTGCCAAACAAATTACGATTGGACATCATTTAATTTGAAAATCATGGGTAGCGAAAGAATAATTTTGATAACATCAAAATTTAATGATATGACAGAACGTAAAGGATACAGATAACATTGGAAACATAGATTTCGTTTGACATACAAATATCAAACAAAGTCTTGACAAATAAATTGCATTAGATCGTGTACACGTGTGGCTTGTTGAATTGTAGAATAAAAGTCCTGCTTCTTAATTACTTTTTCACATAAGTAGACATTTTCTTTGAAAACTGCTCGCATTACAAATGGGGAAAATTATTTAAAAAAAAGCAAGCTGCATGTATTGAAGCTAACAGATATAAAAGTGTAGTTAAATTGGTCACTGCATGTAAAATAAATAATAGCAGAAGCCTATTTTAGGCAAACTAATTTCGTAAAATTTTAGTATAAGGCTTTGTAAGCCCCGAAACTCGGGGATTTCAGCGTTATTGCTTCAGAGGAAGTTATCGGGGTTCGCCTGAGGGGGGTCCTCTTAACAAGATTACTTTGGAGATAAAATGCCTCACATAATAGCGCCCGGGTAAGCCAAGACGGGCGAAGATGCTTTGAAATTAAATTAAAAATGAAAGCATACAAAACAAATTTTATTTCAGTACAATAAATTCGATAAGATTATTACAGCTGTACCAGGTCGCTAGAACTCATATCTTCTTGGGAAAATGTAGTATTACCTGGAAATATATCTAAAACATAGATTATATAAAAATTAACAACTTCTTGCTATAAGCATTATATAATGCTTTGTCTACACGCTGTTATTATTATTTACTACAAGTATATGTTTAATTAGTATCGGTACAGATATAAACTACAATATTAACAAACAACCCTTAGAATTACCCAAACTACAAACCCAAACAAACTATCGATCTCTTGAACCCCACTCGCTTGTTTCAAATTCAATTCGTAGAGTGGAAATAACAATAAAACTTGATCCAACCTGTATCTTTACTTCGCATCACCTGTGCCCAAACGTGAAATGAATATTTACATTCTACAAACAAAAGAGCATCTACGTTGTAAGGTATGTGGTAGACAAAATATTTTTTGTGTAACGTTCCATAGACTCACGATAAAGCTGTCAAATAAGATCAAGATTATATTTAGCCGACATCTTTATTTGAAATTGGATTCCTGGAAACAACGCCCTTTGCCTGGCATCATTTTTCACGTAGACTTTACCTAGAAACGTCAAAATATTTCATAGGCGGCACAGAACTATGATATATCTCTATTTTTATAACCGCAAAGTTTTTGTTCCCGCCTACGGTCGTGATAAATCAGAAAACTCAATTTTATTAAGTTGTATTCTGTTTTTACGAGATCCTTGGGTTCTCATTACCGCATGATGAAAAAACTTAGCCCCATGGCCGAAGATAATTGCAAAACTTTGCGCCCTAAATTTTCAGAAGACAGCTTTAATATTTTACGATTCGAGTGAGGAAAAAAGGAAAACGCAATTCACTGATAAGAACTTTTGTGAGATGCGGATAGTAAAAAGTCGAAAGACATCACGTAGCGAGCAGGTCTGGAAGTTTTATGTTGGCAATTCGGGGCGTGCACAAAAGAATTGCTAACGTGGCTAGATGGCATCGCGCCACCCCGGCAGCCGAACGTCTTTGCTATTCAATGCTGAACATTACGACCGTTGCTTACACATAAAATATACTAGCGATATTTAGGCCACACGATGGAAGGTATACAAAAAAGCTATATAAAAAACCTTCAGATCTTTGCACAAGAAAAATATTTTTGTAGGCGAGATTATTTTAACTTAGTATGTCACTTTACCTACCTTTTACATATTTTCAACGCAACAACAGAGCATAAAACAGATACATTTTTGCGACTTTTTTTAAAGTCCGTACATACCAATCCGAAGATAGTATTGCTTTGGGAAATTAACCAAGGAGTTCTGATTTGTATACCATGGGCGTTCATGATAATAATTAAATAATAATTATTTTTTTCAGATTTAACTACGCTTTCTATACTCAATCCCAATCCAATTTTTACTAGGTACTACAGATTGATATTTCAATCCATTTCTCATAAACTATTCTAAACTAAACATTTCAATAACCGATCGATAAATCGATCGATCGTTCCCATCGAGGCATTAAAGGCGTTCGTGATTCGATTCCATTCTTCAATTTTTAATCTGTTGCTGGTAGCGTTCGTCTTCTTATTATTTCACTTCCCTAAATTAATGAGAAAAGGCCCTTCGTCTCATCCTTGGAAAGAGGTTTTTTTTTCCTCCCAAATAAGGGCAGCGCGTAAAACAAAACCACGTGAGGGACGACCAATCCTTTTTTTACAAGGATTTCAAAGCAGGGATTGTCATATTGAATTGCAGAATCTCGATCGATCACTCGATCGCAAATTGTCATATTGAATTGCAGAATCTCGATCGATCACTCGATCGCAAAAAATCTGGATTGGAAATAAGTTTAGATTATAGATCGAGTATAGAAAGCAGCCGTAAATCGCTGTCTTACTTCGTCAGATGAGGAACACTGTTTGATAAATGTTAAATTAGTGCACACTTACTAATAAATCTACCAACTATATTTTTTTTCCAATGTTTCAATACCTATTAAGAATGGAGTGCAACAATTTATGCTTCAATATTTCTTTCAGACAGTCGATTGGTAATTTAGTCGTTCCCTGCAACATTGTCTTAATGAGATGATTATTTACGACTAAGGGTCACGGGTTGCGTTAGTAATATCAATACTTTCCTTCATTATATTTGCCTAATGTAACATTCTATCTAACACTATTAACATAATTTAATAATATAATTGTTAATTTACTCTTATTTAAAACGTTTACATAAATTTATCGTCAACGTTTAAGTATATTTCGTACATATAACAATTTAGATAAGATTTAAATTATTTTAAAACTTTTATTTTTCCTTGTATGTAAAATTTTAAAAGGGCGGATGCCTCCTTTGTTTTCCATTTTTACTATAACTTATTACAGAACTTTGAATTGTATGGATTAAGGAATAACGATCATATTTCTTTCAATCGCTATCTCTATCTAAACGAGTTGGATGTTGGCTTCGAAAAAGCCCATAATGTACACACGATATGGCTCGGCTTGGCCGTTATTTCTATAGTTTATTGAAGCTTCTAGTTTTAAGAAAAAATTATGTGTAATAACTTAGAGATTCTCTCGGTAACGCCTTAAGCATCTGAAGAGTAATTGGATAGTGACGTTATGATAATCTTACATTAGATATAAAACACGATGTCGGATATTTTTATTAAAGTTTAAGTCGTAAACTTGATAGCTATGTCTAGTTTAAATCATGCAAGCCGTATTTATGAATACCGAGTTAATGGGAGTTAAAATGCTTAATTTTTACTACTTACCTTAGGCGGATATTATTTGATACATTGGCCATACAATTGTATGTACGAGTACAATATTTAGCTGAATCTGCGTTATACTAAATTCATTTAGATTATTGTTTAATTGGTTAGAGCTATTCTTTTGTTACTAGTTGATTATAAATTTAATTGGGCTAGTTATGGTCAAGGACTTAACATCTGTGTTAAGGTATTGTAAATAAATCACAACACTCCGCCAGTTACTTTTGTAAAGATTATGAACAGTTATTTTTAATTTGTGTATGGTAGGGAGATTTAATTGCTAAGCTAATGTTCCAAATTTAAAAAATAAAATAAAGACACGGGTTTCGATTTATTTTTGAGATGTGTATCTTATCTGTGATTTGAATAGAGTATATCTATCGTAAACAGAAGATAATATTTCGAAGCATCACAATGTAAATTCCAAAAATAGGGACTTCCAAATTCTTGATAAGCATTCGATATTCGAAACCAATAAAACGGCATCTATTCGCAAATACATAAAACATCGGATTCTTGCGCACTCTACATAATACTAGAAGGGTTCCAAGTTTTATAGCGAAGAATTTGCATATAAAGTAACCATTGAAGAAAAGCGATCTCCGTTTTGCTATGCTTTTTCGTATTCATTGTTACGAAGGCCGCCAGTTCGAGTTTATGGCTCATGATGTTAAAGCAAATAAATAATCGTATCAACAGTTTTTTAGCTTTTGATTTATTTGAGAAAGGATGAACAAAGGTTTATGTTTTGACATTCCTTATAGTTACTGTATCTAAAGATTATACAGTTTTTATAAGTGTAGGGTTGATCACGTTTATTCTCACGAAACACAGCTTCCCTAATTATTAATTAAAAGCTTTCTAAGGAACGAACATATGCAATTTCTTTTTTATATAACAGGGGGCAAACGGGCAGGAGGCTCACCTGATGTTAAATGATACCGCCGCCCATGGACACTCAATGCCAGAGGGCTCGCGAGTGCGTTGCCGGCCTTTTAAGAATTGGTACGCTCTTTTCTTGAAGGACCCTAAGTCGAAATTAGACCCTAATTAGAGCAAATGACAAAAATCAATGACTTTTCTTTCTTAATACTAGAAAATAGGTAAGAATACCTTTTTCAAAAGGCTAAAAGTTGTTTTCTTTACATATTTATACCTATAAATTGTATATAATTTAAAAATAGGCAAGTATTTTGAAAATCTGTATATAATACATAAACATATAGTCTTACTAAGTAATTAGATGAAAGAGCAGAGCCTGAAATCCAGATATTAGAAATTCAGCATTAATATTTTAATTTATTCCATACATATATTTTATACTTTAAGTCACTACGGAATTCGTATTTCAAGATTAGACGTGAAATATGCTTATGTAAAGCGACTAAAAAAATGTAGTGACCGCGGCGATTCCCAATAAAAATGATATTTAATTGAAGCCGATAAGGTGTCAAGTCAGCTAATAAACCCTCTACATTATTATCATGTATCTGTTTTGTGAGATAAATATTTTAATACGTATCTTGTATCAGTAAATGCTTTTTACATGTTTGGTAAACACTTATGGACTTTTTGTGTGGGACTAAGTGTGGGAGTGTACGACT